AATAGTGCGCACAGTTTTACTCAAGCTAGCAAAAAACTGGTGTCGTTAAAATTATTGTCCCTCGCTTGAAAAGTGGGAGATATTTATTTGGGTCTGCCCGTCCGTCTTTCTGTCTGCCTGTAACGCTTTCGTTTCCACACGATATCTCAAGAACCCTTTGAACTTTTGCAATGAGATTCTACATAACAACTCCTTGTGGTCTAAGGAAGATCCCTATTCATTTTGAGGTCAAAAGGTCAAAGTTCAAGGTCGTAAATATTTACATTCTGTCTGTGAGTAACACTATCCTTTCCGGGCGATATTTCAAGAAGATTTTGAGCCTTTGCAATGTAATTTTATTCCAAAACTCCCTATGACATCTCTCATCCTTCTCAAAATGTCCCGCCCCGTTTGTTTTATTAGTATTTATTGTATTACACATGTAAATGTCGCTATTTTTAGTAAAGGGGCAGGAGGAGAGTTATTACGTATAAAACAGGTTCTCGGCGGACTTGATATTCTCATTGCATCTATTAGAACTGTTTAATAAAGGTTGAATTAGACACCATGCATTGTGTAAAATTTTGACAATATCGAACGTGAATATTATACATGCATGTGACCTCATCTTTGCATATAATTTCCGCCAGTTAAATGCGGTTTCGTGGTGTAGTGGTATGTATCACGCTTCACATGTAAGACGTCCCGGGTTCGAATCCCGGACGATCTATTTCCTTTTTTTTTTCTTTCCGAAATACTTTTTTTTACTAAATGATAGTATTCAGCATGTGAAATGAAATATTTATGAGGTCTGGCTTATACAAACTCATAAAATCATAATTACAGTGTGATAAATATTCCATATAAAACGAATCTTCTATACACATAATAAAGAATAAGCAATCAAATCTTTATATTCATATTTGCATATTTTGTTTGCTTCAGTATACATGTATACATTTAATAATTCTACAAATTCAGTCAAGGGGATCCGATCCTCCCCCCCCTCTCCCCGAACTGCGCATGGTTTACTTTTTCCCTATTCGGGGGACACAAATTCGTTGAATTAGTTTGTTGTTACAGAGAATGAACTTTCAGGTGCCTTCGAAACACACTTTTAATTAAAAAAAAATTTTATTTTCTTTAGTTATGAGATAATTTTGAAATTTTGTCATTGGTTGACCACCTGTCACTTTTCAAGAAAGTAAATTGTGTATGTATATTTTATAAATTTTTCAGTGAATTAAATTTACACTCTGAACATCAATGGAACAACAGGTCATTAGAGTGACGATCGATTGTTCTGAACTTTTCTCTCTTACAACAACTCAGCAATATCTCATCAGTGCATAATTCATAAGCAGCAGCATTTTTGAAAAAAGATACAAACAGAATAACCGATTGTTTTCTCTCCCTAAAGAGCATGTGAAACATGCACTTCATTATTAAATGTCTGAAACAAATTATATGTAAAAGTGAAAAATAAGGTAGCTAGTAGAATCAATATTAAACGTGTAAAATATTTATTATAATGTGAAGTAATAGTTAAGAGCAACAAAAGCGTTACAAAGCAGGAAATACTGCAGCATCCATCCTTAGGGTTCCCTTTGTGTGTCATTCATTATACCCCCCGCTTGAAAAGTGAGAGGGTATACTGAAATCGGTATGTCCGTCCGTCTGTTACGCTTTAGGGTACCATCTCTTATCCGCAACTCCTCTTATACCACTGAGTGAAATTTAATGAAACTTTCACAGATTCTTTATTACATATTGCCATTGTGCACCTCCTATTTTACTTTTTGATCCGACACATATTTTGGGTTTCCCGGCCACAACAGAATATGGACTTTGTCATCAGTTATAACCATATGGGAGGCGGGGGGGGGGGGTATCATTTAGTGAGTTCATTGCTCACAGTACCTCTAGATTTTTAATTAAAATAATAAATCGAGGAGCTAACAACAAAAATACCTAGAATTTTTTGAACTCGCATGACTGATGAAATGGGCATGTCCAGTATTAAAATTCAGTATTTATGTGCACATTAATTAACTTTTATTTTTTGTGCACATGCTACATGCATGAAATCTAACATCTATCCAGGATTTTGTCCGCTGAAATATTGCCGACTCGGCGTTAAACAGCAATCAATTAAATTCAAGATTTTATAAAACAATGATCGATGGTCAGTGATAAATGTATGTATGGAAAGAGCTCCTCTTTTAAATTTTTATTTCCAAATCTGATTGTGATCAATATTCTTGGATATAACTTGAAGAGGTTTGATTCTGCTTTAAAAAGTACGATAAAAATTTCTGAATTCTTTTAAACTACACACTTGGCTTAATTAAAAAAGGATTTTTTTAAAATTATCTATTGCTTTCTTTTTCGTCCGTCGTCGTGCGCTAACATTTCAACATTTTCAGCAACATCTCTGGAACTAGTGAACCAATTTCAAGCCATTTAGGCATATAGCATCTATTGATGAAGGGATGTATCTTTTGTGTGTAAAAAAAAAAAAAAACCTATGCTTATATGATTAGCCTTTGATTCAATATATCTTTTACAGTTTTGTATTATACTCTGGTGACCGTTTAGGCTCATGAGCCTCTTGTTCTGAATACAGAGTTTTTAATGTGTGATTCAGTGTTGATTTTACCATTCTATGGTCTGATGGCTCAAGCATGTTTTACTTAACGTGTTAGTAGGGCAAGGATACTTCTTGTATTTTAAAATGAATAAAATTTGAACAGATCAAATACAGTAACATTATAAGAAGTGCATACTTTTAAAATTCATTATCTTTACTTGAATGCAAATCACTAATTGGAATTTGTTCACATCATTGTACTTATGTATGGAACTTGAATGTCAACCGCGGGCAACAGATGTTTCATACGCTACGGCAACCATGAACTAAAGTGACCAATTTTCTTGAAGTCTCATGGACTTAACACATAAATTATTTTCAAAAAGATTGTAACAAAATAATCTTATTCTAAATTAGTATTTAAAAGGGAAGTGAATTTTTGTTGATTTACGTGTTTTGATGTAAACAGATATTTAATTAAATACAACACAAAAAAAACCTCAAACCGAAGAAACCTATCAAAGAAACAAACAAAAAATGTATCAAATCAAAGGTGTCGTATTTACATGGTTAATTTAAGGAAAAAAACACATGCATTTTCAAGTTGACATATTTTTAAGAAGTAAGAATTTATCATTCATATTTTGGTGCGATCAGTGCAATTCAGCAAATCTCTAGTCAAATCAGTGAGGAGGTGATTTATCAATAATAATTTTGATACATTGATACGAAGTTATGGCCTGATTTCTATTATAACATGAAATGTACCAGATTTTTTTTTCATATATACTTTGATATTTAGTTTATCTTTGCCAATCGGTACATCACATCGGCAGAGTATTTGTTTTCGTTAAAAGCAAACACAAAATTCACCAATTTTATACTTTTTAACAAATCCCAAATTGTTCCTTTATAACAACTCAACAAATTCATATTATATCTTCATAAATGTGATGGGGGGAAACCGTTTAATTGTAATATAATAATAATAGTACTATTTTCCCCCGGGGCCTTCTGTATATATAAATGCGCAGAATGAGATGAAAAGATCCTACGATAATAAGATCTTCCCATGTAAAAATAAATGTCAGTAGTAATCGTTATTCCTTATATTTTAATAGAAAAAGTAAATAAGTTTCGAATCAAAAGGAATATTATTTGTAGGTTGTCTTTTCTTATATTTTATTTTTAATATTTTAATAAAAATACATCTTGATTTCATTTGAATTTGTCTCCTTATTTTTTTTCTTGTTGTTTATCTTCATGCAGATATTAACTAAAAACCATAGGACATGAATGCCCCGCCGAGGGTATATTAGTAAAGCAACATGAAAATTTGTATTAGTGTATAAAATTTGATCAGAATATCTTGAATAGTGATTCAGTGGAATTGCTCACATTAGTATGTATCACCATGTGACGTTTGACACTAATTCCATTAAAGTGAGGTAAAGGTAAAAGGAAATGACAAGGTCAAAAACTGCTGATTCAGTTGAAAAGCTCTTTATCAGTAAGTATCAGAATATGAAGTTGAAAAAAATATTATTAATGGTTTCTTTAAAACTGACTTAAACACAAATGGATAAAAGTGAGGTCAAGGTCAAATGAAACGTCAAGGTAAAAAAAACAATGCACTTGAAGTGCTTACCTTAATATCTATCAGCTTATGACATTTGACACTAATGTACGAAAAATGAGGTCAATATCAAAGCAAAGGTCAAGGTCAAAACTATTCATGCAGTTGCACATCTCTCATCAATATGTACCAACATATGAAAGAGGTAGAGCCACGAACCTTCAAAATCTGCCCTGAGTCCAAATTTAATCAAACTTTCGGATAAAATACTTTAGAATATATATTTTTTAAAAATACTTATATTTTTTCCATATTCCAAATACTTTCCGTTTTAGAAAAGGAGCTTTATAGCATTGTTTTTCCCATGTAAACCCAGTAAAGTCATTTTTACGTTGCAAATTTTAACACACTTTGTTCTGAATATTTGATTAATATTTACTTTATTTTTTTAATGATCTTATATTTGAATTTCATATTTATCTACCTGTACAAAAAGAGTAGTCTTTCTATGTAAAATGCACTGAAGAATAATATTTTATTTTATTTTCTGAAGATGTTTTAAACTAAAGTTGAAATTAGTGTACACAAACATAGGTCAGCTCACATAATTGCATCTTACCTACAACGGGTTTGTCATACAATGGAATGGTACATGTAAATATATAATATTGTTTCTTGTTGTCTCATATGAAAAAAAACAATAAAAACAGCGTGTAATATTTTTGGCATGGTTTATTGAATGAATCAATTATAAGCGAGATTTTTTTTTTGTAGTACTTATACGCGGTCGATTGAACATCATATCATATATTTGATCGGGCTCGTCCTGACCGTTTTATGCAATTTTGACATGTGCAGGTTTGTTTACTTTGTAATGCGCCTTGAGGTAACCGAAATGTGGGGAAAACAAGGACTGGTATGTATCTAATTTTTTTCCTGTTGCAATTTATCTTCGTGAATCAGGAAACAGTGTGCTTTAAACATTCTATTTACTACAGTTTTGTACAAGTTTTCGGTAGAAACCGCAAGAAGAAAAGGGAGATAATTGGATTTTCTTGAAAAAATGAAAATTGGATTTTCTTGAAAAAAACTTCGAAGCAAATTGCTATGTATGTACGATCTATTCCTATTTAATTAATAAACTTTCCCAAGAACAGTTTCTGATATGTTAATTGATTACCATGTATAAAATAAAACGGCAAGCAGTTACTGTTAACATGGTAGATTTGTTACATTTTGAAAATAAACAATGCATTCTTGTTAAAAAACGAAAAAAAGAAAAGCTATTGCTGCTAAAAAAGCACAGAATAATTTGTGCAATCCTGACTTATATGGCATAATTTTAAATATTTAAAAATATATTCATTACAGAATTTTATTGCATAAAATTAAATCATGAAGGTGATTTAAAAGAAGACAAAAACAGTTTTGTTGGGATAAAGAGGGAATTGAATTTATTACGTGTACTATACACAAAATGCAAAGTTATTAATTGTATTAATTATTTTATCTCTGTTTCCAATGGTGTTAATAAATTAAGACGTGGATAATCTGATATAAAACATATGGGATATGAAACAATTTTTTACAAATGTAATTCACACAGTGACAGAAATATCATGGCTATAACTCTCATGTATACATGTACATGCAGCAATTAAGAACCTGTATGAACAAGATAGAAATCGAGTTTCAAAGAATCTGTCAAACTGTCTGAACCTATTTCAGGCTAGTAAAAATATACACATAACTATAATAAAAAGCAGGCATCTATAATTCATCTGCAGTTAAATTATAATACATATTTATATCATTATAGGCACCCATGTTGAAAGAGCATCAGCCTGCAAAGGATGATAGAATAATGTAATCATTATTCTTCCGTTACACTTTCATCGGAATCGGACTCATCAAGGATGGATGCGTCACACAATGAGTTACCCCAATCCTGAATTCCGTAAGTCTGGCACTCTTGATGTCTGGAGAAGCCCAAGTACCAAAGCACAGCTGCAACGTGAGAGCAAACGCCAACTACCCGTGCCCCGGCACGACACTTGCAGTAGGTGGCCACAATGTTTGAGGGTGTGAATTCTATCCATAAGGTGTACTTCCTTGAGGACACATGACGTGACTGGAGCTTCACTTGGATCAAGCCAGGGTCTTCCCGGTTGATGTAAATATCAGCTTCCCCATCAATGTGTTCTTTTATATAGGATGGACTCAGTCTGAGCTGGTACGTTCCACAAGTTATGTTGGACAAGTCTTCTTCATCTAGTCTTGGGAAGTCATCCAAAGAATCATCATCGACCGATTTCCAAATAACCTTACGCTTGTCCAGTCCATTATCAACAACCCTCTCCTGGAGTTTGTTCACTTGATGAGAAAGGTATAGCATTTTTGCCGCCATCTCTTCATCATTACATGTTGTAGTGGATAGAGGTGGGGAAAACCTGTTTGATAGGGCGCAGACTATTCGAACATAGTCACCTATATATTTCACCTGGTTTGTGGGAAGAACATGGTTGAGAAATTGCCATTTCTTGATCCTCGCATTTGCAGATTCTATAACCCACCTCACCTGAAAATATATTTTTGAAAAATATGATATAAGTCCATTTTAGAACAATTTCTTGTGTATTATCATGTTGTAAATTTTGAATTTACTAGGGGGAGGTAAATGCAAAATTACAACCTAACTAAATTTTGCATTTACCTCCCCTTAGTAAATTCAAAATTTACAAAATGTTAGTTATTTCTTTTATATTAGGAAGAGGATATTTTTATGTTTTATTTTTCTTAGATTTTTTTTCATCTCTTCGAAGACAGAAAATTTTATGTATTATTGGAATACTTAATTGAGTTTATTTAAAATTTTAGATTCAGTATGCTCACCTTTGAAACAAGTCTTGAAGAATTTGCATCCGCACTAGAGAGCTGTTTCTCACCCCTCTTCAGGAACGATGGCATCTGTGCTCTAATACCAAGGTCTTCGAGAAGATCTAGGGAATCCCTGAAGCCTCGATCAACCACAAACACATCATTCTCCTGGACCCAGTCCCTAATGCTGTCAACATTTTTCTTTAGTGCATGATTTAGGATGGCGGCATCATTATTTTTGGAATCCGAATAGTATGGGCCCATGATGCTCAAAAAGTACCCTGAGGTAGAACAAATAACCATCGGTTTCACTAGTGGCCGTCCTTTATGCAGACTGTAAGTCCTCCTTTGAAATTTGAAATTATCACTCTTCTGGATATAAATGTATGTGCCATCAATTACCAGGATTGCTCGGGATTCTTCCTGGTCACCAAACAGGAATTTAGCCAGAGGACGGGTGTGTTCTGTTATGATTCTCTCCCTTGTCACATGCTCAAAGCCTAGGTATTGTGGGACGAAGGAATTGAGAAGGGCAATCCGAACTGATGAAATGGCACGTCGTAGACAGGACTTGGAAATATTAAAAATGGTTGCCATCAGCTTGTTGGAGAGTCCTGATTTCATTTTCATCAAGAAAATACCAACAGATGTTCTCAAGCTCCTTGCTGGGGTTTTCCTAACCTGCTCAGCATGTTGACATATTTCCCTAAAATCAGATTTTTTGTGTCCTGTCAAAGTTACATAATCATCGTCAGTCATTTCATCCTCATTGTCAAAGTCGATTCTTGTTTTGGAATATGTTATTGCAGTAGTGCGTAATTTGCCAATCAATTTCTCGAGATCTTCAGAATTTAAAAGAACAGACGTTGATGGCTGCAAATTGAAGTTTCCAACAATTTTGTCGTTCTGCACATGGTTTGGACAACACCTGCACCCTGCCGGTAGTAGTACATTGTGATCAAGAAAAAATCGAAATCGTATTCCAGCTGGCACGGTAATCAACTTAGGACCAGGGCGCTTACATAAAGTGCAGTAAGAGTGTGATCTTACAGTGCATTGGATATTGAGCCTTATTTGTGATGGAAGAGATGTAGTGGAACTATCAGCTTTCTTAGCTTCCTTAACTGTGCACTGTATTTTCTCAACATGACTGCAAGACTTGGTTCTGTGAAATGTGCATACACATTTATTGCAAATTGTGTCACCAATTTTTGACTCAAGCATGAAATTTTTTCTCAAGTATTTCTGTACATCTTTCCGTACATGCCTCCGATTTTTTGGTTTAGTTCTAATTCCACACAAAACGCAGTTGAAATACTTTGGACCAAATCCTGGCATACTGTAAATATTAAATTAATTTGAGACTTTAATGAGAAATGTTTAATAAATTATTTTTTTTTCAGGTAAAATGTTGATGCAGGGGTATTTTTCTCTCTCTACTTTAAAAGTTTTAAATATAAGAGAGTAGATATTATTTACAATTTTTATTTTTTTTTCTTTTCTTTTAAATAAATAAAATAATTTAAGTATAAATTAGCAAATTGTACAGTTAGCATGAAAATACCTTAATCCTATCTATGAATCTATAAAAGATTAAATTTATTTGCTTGTAAAGAAAGTCTTTGAATTCCCCCCCCCTATTCTTTAATTTTTAGCTCACCTGAGCCAAAGGCTCAAGTGAGCTTTTCTGATCACATTTTGTCCAGCGTCCGTCTGTCTGTCTGTCTGTAAACTTTTCACCTTTATAACTTCTTCTCAAGAACTGCTGGGCCAATTTTAACCAAACTTGCCACAAAACATCCTTGGGTAAAGGGAATTCAAGTTTGTTCAAATGAAGGGCCAAGCCCTCATTCAAGGAGATAATTTAGAAATAATGAAAATTTGGTGGCATGTTTTGAAAATCTTCTTCTCAAGAACCATTGTGCCAGGAATGATGAAACTTATGGGCAAACATCCTCAGGTAGTGTAGATTCAAGTTTGTTCAAATCATGACCCCCGGGGGTAGGGCCGACAATGGCCGACCAAAGTTTTATATAGAAATATATAGGAAAATTCTTTAAAAATCTTCTTCTCAAGAATAACAAAGCCATAATTGATCATATTTATATGGAAGCATCCTCAAGTAGTGTAGATTAAAGTTTGTTCAAATCATGACCCCCGGGGGGTGAGCGATGTGGCCCATGGGCCTCTTGTTAGCTCACCTGAGCCGAAAACTCAAGTGAGCTTTTCTGATCACTTTTTGTCCATCGGTCTAGCTGTTCGTCTATTTGTCCGTTTGTAAACTTTTCACATTTTCGACTTGTTCTCAAGAACCACTGGGCCAGAAAAGCTGAAACTTATGTGGAAGCATCCTTGGGTAGTGTACATTATAAATTGTTTAAATCATGACCCCCGGGGGTTGGGCAGGGCGACAATAGGGAATTTAATTTTTTTTTTTTTTTTTTTTTTTTTTTTTTTTTTTTTTTTTGATTAGCTAGCCCCAATCTAGCATTTATTATTTTTAACCCCTCAACTTTGAATTTTTCTTAATCTGCAACCAAGTACTCCATCTCTCAAGATGGTTTATGTAAATTAAGGGGAAAAGTGGTGATATAAATGAAATAATTTTCTTTTACATAAAATGAGAGAAATAAAATATGACATAGGCCAACATTTTTTTTTTCAGTTCTGTTTCATAGTTTGAGAGGGAGATGTTGACAATATTTATTACCATGCAATCATTTACACCCCCCCCCCCCCCCCCCCCCCCAAAAAAAAAAGAAAGTTTGGAGAGGAAGTGCCAACTTATTTTCTCTCCCATTTTTATGTACATGTACTTGTATGTTGTATGTGCGAATCATGTGAAAAGCAATGTCTACAGTTTTTAATTTTTTGTTTGTTTGTTTGTTGTTCCTATGTAAATTTAATCACTGGTAACAAATTATAAAAGAAATTGAATCTGAAAAAATTAGCGTTGGCCAAGCTTTGTTTTTGTCCGAGCACCTGATTCTTCTATGTGTATCGAGGACGTGATACGGTACAAATGTATAAATATGAGAAGGCAATTCTGCGGATATGTTGTATATGTCGGAGAAAATTGTTTACTGTACACAAGTATTTATTTCATTAAAAAGGTGACTAAATATAGCAATATTATGTTGGTAAAGCGTCTATCGATCTACAGATGCTAAACAGAAAGTAGACACCGAATGTTGTAATGTAGGTGAAGGTCAAAATTATTTATGAAAGCCAATCAGAGCTCCTGGAGACATGCGCACAGAATAAGGGATTTTCCGTTTTGTATTTATATCGAAGTCTGCACAAGTTTACTATAACTGTATAATGTAGACCTACATGTATTAGGATATATGTTTACGTGCATGAACATTATATATCCAATATGGAATGCAGATTGGTAAATAAAGGTAATACAGACGAAATATTTACAATTAATATTTTCAACTTTATGAGGTAATAATTGCAAAATACAATACCTGCTTTATTCGGGCTGGTTGATGATCCAAAATCAAAGTACTTTTTTCACAATCTTCATTACGTTTCTTTAATTGGCAGCGTTCATTATACTTTAATTATGACGTACCTGTCTGACGTCATAACTGACGTTGAAATTTACATTGACTTAATAGTGAAAAATAAAATAAAATAAGATTTTTATGCAAAATACTACTCTCCAGAGTCCTTTATTGTCATTTTTATTTCTTAAACACATGGTAAAGAATAAACCGAGAACAATATTATCACCATTTGTGCAGATATATAAAATACAATTGTATACAATTGGAAATGACAAGCAATACCACAAAATTTGTTGAATTTAAAATTTAATAAAAACAAAAAATTTTCATTGGCCACAGTCACGAACATCAATCATTTTTTGCTAGAGAGAAGATAACAACAGTTTCTTTTCACATGTGAAATAAGAAGAATGTTCACAACTGTGGCCACATCTAATTCTTCCATAGAATGCCCTCAAAAGGGCCTTTTTTGGTGTTTCTATATAACCTTCACAAGTTTGCTTCACCCCACAGTCCTTATGGTACAACGAAACTGAAAAATCTCGGTATATACAAAGAGAGTGTATTAAGTACTTAAATATACAGAGTATAAATATTATCGGAATTGACATGAACTTTTGTGAAAATTACAGGGCAGATTTTGATGGTTCGTGGCTTTAGCTCTTTGAGAAAAATATCTAGAAATGATGTCTTTAATTAAAACTGACTTAAACACAATTTGATAAATTTGTGCTCAATGTCAAATAGAGGTCAAGGTCAAAATTGTTGATGCAGTTGAATTGCTTATATCGGTATGTATCAGTATATGAAGTTTGACACTGAGTTGAAAATCTCTCATCTATATGTATCAACATATGAAGTTGGATACAAATATCTAGAAATGATGTCTTAAATTAAACCTGACAAGCACAATTTGATAAAAGTGAGGTCAAGGTCAAATAAAAGGTCAAGGTCAAAATTGTTGATGCAGCTGAATTGCTTACATCAGTATGAATCAGTATATGAAGTTTGACACTGAATTAGGAAAAAGTGAGGTCAAGGTCAAAGCAAAGGTCAGGGTCAAAAATGTTGATGCAGTTGCATATCTCTCATCAAAATGTATCAACACATGAAGTTTAAATAAAAATATTTAGAAATGATGTCTTTAATTAAAACTGACTTAAACATAATTTGATAAAAGTGAGGTCAAGGTCAAAGCAAAGGTCAAGGTCAATAATATAGATACCGTTGAATTGCTCTCATCAATATGTAACAGCATATGAATTTTGATAAAAATATCTTGAATGGTATCTTTAAAACTGTGCGAAACACTAATTTAAGAAATGTGAGGTCAAGGTCAAAGGAAATGTCAAGGTCAAAAAATGTTGATGCAGTTGCATTGCTCTCATCAATATCTATCAGCATATAAGGTTTGATGAAAATATCTGGGACAGTTTCTTTGAAACTTAGCTTTGAACAGAACTAAATGCAAAGTGTGACGGAAGGACAGAAGGACGGAAGACGGACATGACAAACACTATATGCCCCGGCCATATTCATGGCGGGGCATAAAAATGACACAATCCTTGTCCTTTGCTTATCCCAAAGACAACGTTATTTAAGCTTTAAAAGTAATTTTTTTTAAATATGCACATGGAAAAATGGGTTTAAAACTGACAATATAATGAACTTGTGAATTCACTTATGCCTCTGAATGTGTTATTTCCTTCTAGAATAAGATTAAACTCTTCAATGCATGCTCCTTCTCTTCCTGATTTTTTTTCCTGTCGTATATTCGCTGTTTATTTTGCTTAATAATAAATGTTATTTTAAATATCTCATTGTGACATTTAACGCAGTCTACTTTAAAACAAACCCAGAGAGAACGATGTAAATATTTTCAGCCATTCCTCCTCAGGTGAAGATCAATATACACTTATTTGTTATTTATGAAAATGTTATATTGTTAATATTGATTAAATAATCTGCATAAATTAAATGGAAAAAATTGTTAAACACTGCATTTGACAGAAAGAAAATTTAGAGTCCTGATGCTTCAATATCCACCGAGATGATTATAAACAACTTCTAACTTTTATAAACGTATTTTGTGCTTAGCAGGAGTCATGAAAATCTTCATATTTCAAAAAACTGTATTCATAATCCTTAATATAATCTTATGTGGCCATGGAGATTTAAAAGCTGGATATTCTTCTATACAATATGGCTATAGACTGATTCATAGAATGATAGAATCTTACGTGAAATATAGCATACTGGACTGTGTTGAAGAGTGTCTCAGAACAAAAAGGTGTACATCGGTCAATTATTATAAAGGCGCAAACTTTTGTGAAATAAACTTTAGAAGAAACTTAGATCAACAGGAACTTTACAGACAGGCCTCAGGCTGGTTATACACTGACATAGAGAACTGGGATGAGGTAAATATCTTTGTACTCACATTCTAAACATAGATAAAGATGTCATATTGTAAATTTTACCGGTTGACAATATATACAAAAGAACAAGGTTAAGGTACAGTTTATATTCAAACCTTGCCCTGTGATTTTCTTTAAAATGAAACTGATGTAAACAAAAAATGTCATGCTGTAAATTGTGTATTTACTACCACCCGGTATATTCAACATTTTCATGACAAAGACAAGAAATGGGGGTTGAATTCTATTTTTAAATTAACACTTTACAATAGATTACATGTGTACCTTCTTCAGGTATCTATTTTTGTCAATAATTTTCAGGTTTATAATTTTATTATTTTTCATTTGTTAAACACGAATTATCTGTTGATTTTTTTAAAAATAATAATCAGGTTCTCGCAGAGTCGTGCGCAGGATCACCGTGTCAAATAAATGAAAAATGCATCCACAAACCTTTAGGA